CATTTCTGATTTTTTTTTGGTATGATTTCTGCCGTTCTCTCAAGTTCGGTCTACTAGTCCGGGCTCTTTTTCAGAACAGTGGCTGGTAATCAAGCCTATTCTGTTTTAAGTGGTATCTTTCAGGAGTCAAATAAAGATTGAGCCACACCTAGGTTAGCCTCCTTTAAAGGTTTTATTCAAATTTTCCGACGACCACCCCAACTTTTTCGTATGGGAGTCCCTCAGCCGGGCCACATTTACCTGCATGCTGTACTTTGTCAGCTAACCAATGGATTGCCAATGGTATGTACTATTTTGTACATGATGAATCATTTTCAAGAATATTTACAACATGTGATGATGAAAATTTTAAGTTACAGTTAATACATTTCAATAAAATTATTATGCTCTTCATGTATAATATACTAACTACTATTGCTAATGTATTATTAATAATCAATAAATATATATTACAAGAAATTCATTATAAATCAAGACCAGCATAAGCTAGGCCCACTACAACCAAGTACAGCAGCAATAAAAATCCTACAAGAATCCACCAGATACTATATTCACCTGAAAAATGATTTCAAACATTGTATTGTTAGTTCATATGGAGTGATCATCAAGGTGAGGCTAGTTCTGAAAAGGAATAGTGGAGCAGAAGACTTCTTCAAAAGTCAAGTGAAAAGTGTTTTGTAAGTAGATGCCATGCATGCTAACTCTGGTCCAGTGAAATGATTGGTCAGCTTGGCTGGTATTACATGTACATGGTATTACATGTACATGTAGCTGTAAGACTCATACTTATGTATATTTTGTCAATAGTGATTGGTCAGTTCTGATAAGTTTTTGTTCATCCGTTACATAACTGACATAAAGTTGTACTGTTTGACTTCCATTGTCAGTTTGGTTTATGTTGTGAATAAGTCATCTGTCTGATAACTAACTAGGAGGGGACAATCGGAGGGATGGAGAGGAAAAGGAAGCAAGGGACTGACAGACAAGCAGAAAGGCAGACAGACAGACAGACATACTTAAAGTTAGACAGATGGATGAACGAATAAACATTAAATTAAAAAAAACTATTACATGTAGTTCCTAATAAAAAAAATATTGCTCTGTCTTGGTATATCTTGTTACATGTAAGCAACAATAGACACCATACCTCTTCTTTTGAGTGTTGTAACTTTACAGGTGTTATCAGCAGATATACTGAGCACTGCAAACTCATTGCGAAGCTGGTTGTTCACTAGTTGAGAGTCGGGAAGAAATGCCAGTCCTGTTACAAAGATGTTATGGACACCCTTAAGTGTAACCAGGGGCTGCAGAGAAATAATGTACAACTGTAAGATACATGAATCCCTAATCACATTAGAAAGATGTAAGGAGCTGTGACATCTGATAATAATTATTATAATCTTTTCATTTTATTCTGATATCCCTTACATTGCAATCTGTCACAAGAAAATCAGAAGTTATGACTTCATCTTATTACTGTAAAACGTTTATTTTGTAAG